GGAGTAATGCAGGTTACTCTTAATTAAGAAATCACCTATGTGGGAGAGAAGTGGGGCAGCTTCGAAGGGAATTGTGAGGCTCAATTCTTAATAACTTTCACTGAACCAGGCATATGTTCATGTCCACAAACGAACATATCCTTGAGAACTGAATTGTGTTAGGAAGAATCCGGTATGGAGCATATCATCATTTACATAAACGGCAGAACAGTTCTAAAACAGAGTGTCTACTGATCAACTAGAAAAGTAAATACACTTTCATAAGGGAAGGTTCAAGGGGTAATACCTACCTATTCTATGCATGTTTCAACGTTGAATTTTATCACTAAGCCTTTGTTTCACGTTTTGTGTCTCTCCCAATTTTCATTCATGTGGAGGATTGTTGGAAAAAATGAGGAGAATTGTTGACTTTGACATAAATTTTAAGTGGGACCCATTTGCTTATTTTGGAAGATCGACGTTGATTTGCGTTCTCCTCCGCGAAAATATCGAAATCATGTATTTACTGGCCAAATATGAAGTTCGAGTGAATTAGAAATTGGAGTTCAAAGTGGATCATTGGAATATGGTTTATGTTGGAGGGAAAACTAAATTTAAGTTTATCACACATATGAAATTTATGAAAGCATGAACCACTTTATATATGACTACACATTGGAAGTGTGTAATCATGTGTAACATAGAGGCTCTCTCCACGTGCGCGCAGAGGTGCAAATCACGAACCGAAATAGGTTTCGAATTTTGAACTTGTGTGCGATGTGCGACCTGCATACACAAATGTTGGACTGAATGGACCAAAAATAGCTCCTTAGGAGGGCATATGTTTTGCCAATTTTTTTTTTTTCTTTCAAGAGCTGACTTTTGATTTTTGAAACTGCTAAAACTACAATGATTATTGCCATTAACATTTGAAACTGTTGAAACTCCAATGACTATTGGTATTGAGTTAATGGACATATTTAACTCGTTAATTACTGGGGTTAAGTTTATATAAAGCATTGTTTTTCCACTGTTTCAGACTTGAAGAATACACTTTCTGCATTACAATTTCAAAACACACGAAAAATTTATGTCTGCGTACATAATTTATTGTATGTCAAGGTCTTGGTAGTAATATTGTTCAAATATTAAGTCTGATCGTCGAAGTAGAATTGCAGTGCTCGAACTCTACTGGTTTAGCGTTGTATTTTGGAAAACAGAAGCTCAAATTAAATCTCAAGTATCTATGGTGCGGGGACGAATCTGTTTTAAAGAAATTGTGTTCACACATGGCTCGATTTTTAAAGTTCAATTGAATTTTTATTCTCTACTATTAGATTATTTGTTCTATTTTATCGTGATTTATATAACTTATTTTGTTTGTTGTGATTAGCAAATTATTTAATCTGCTATATCTTAGCTATTATTCGGTAAGTTATTGTCTACACGGTAAACTGCATATACGGTATGTTAGTTGCATATTCGGTAT